ACACTATAATGAGCCCTACAGTAGGGTCTAGGATTCGATTCCTTGTGACTCCAGCAAATGACCTGTGCCCTAAACCCTCCAGCACCCTCAGCCGGCACCTAGGCCTAGGCCTAACCCAGGTCGTAAGCCCACATGGGGAGCCCTCGAACACAGCTTTCCTTACCTTTCCGTGATTTCCTTACTATGACAACACCAATTAACGAAGAATGGAGTCTCTTTGCAGCACTGTGGCTGCGTGCTGCAAATCTTGAAGATAACGCCTGACAGATTGTTCCTGTATGGCTTTGAGTTAAACTTTAAGGGTTCCTTTACAAGTGAGAGGTAAAGGGTTCCCATAAGGATTTCCTGAGAGGGCCCTAAAAATGGCTCGTATTCACATACCCATTATGATTGCGCCGAAGTACATAGTTCCATCGACTGAGGCCCCCATCTCACCCCCATCCACGTGCTTTAGGGTCTGGGAAGGTCCAGGTTTGTCTTCCGGAACACGGTTTAGTGTTGGCGGTTGAAGACGCGTCGCTATTACACGGAAGCCTGAATCATTGAAAGTAGTATTCCTTAGGGTTCCTAACTATAGGTTTATGATACCCACCAGAATCCCTACGTAGGGGTTTCGGAGTTTCCGGGTTTTGTGATGTGATGTTGACCTTATGCTTTACTTTGCGACCTTCGCACGAGCTGCCAGCAGGCTCGGCTATTTTTCATAACAGCGTTTCGCTGCACTTGGCAGAGTCTCTCGGTTGTGCCTGCATGTCGTACGATCGCGGCATACTTCCGCCGCGAGAGACCGCGAGGCATGCTTCTCTTCACACCATGGTGCGCCTTACCTCGGTGTGGTTTGCTGAAACGATTCGCCTTACAGTTGTGTGATGTTGTTTAAGGTTTCAAGGGTGCGTCTTACCCTAAACCCTATACCCTAAACTACCCTATTCTTCAAGCGCCCAGGGCGCAAGAAATTGTCTTGCAATTCCTCTGTTCCCACTGCAAGTGAAAGTGTCGCGCTTGCCCCAAACCCTGACATAGAGCTTGTAGAATCATCCATAGCAATCCCTTAGATTCCCGACCTAGTTACAGTAGAGCCCAGCATTTCAAACTGTACGAGACCCTGTGACCCTTAACCTTAAATCTTGGTGCCTATGAACCCTAAACCGTAAACCTTGGTGCTTATGAACCCTTTAAACCCTCAACCCGAGAACCCTGCAGCCTAAAAGCGCTAACCCCCAATACGCCCCGTTTTTTCCACTCTATGCATCAAGTCCAGCAGGGGCAGGTTGTTTTAAGGTTCCTTGGAAGGGTTCTATAAACCAAATAATCATTACTGGGCCCTTAAGGATGGAACACAATTTATTGCGTTTTATTGGGCAGTTTTAGCTAGAATGGGGTTTCGGGATCCACTATAGCAAGACTGCACCAATTAAATGTATAGGATCTACATGGGGATCATATGACCACTGATGCCGCCCTCAAACTTGACCTTCCTGGCAGTATGCTACAGTTCCTTTGTGCCCGAGCCTTACTACGTGATATGGGAGTTTCCAAAAATAGGGGACCCTTATATAGTCCCCTAAATAGTAGGCTCCTTATTATAAGGCCCCCAATAGGGTACCCCAAATTTTCGGAAACTCTAAACCCTAAACCCTTTGTGGAACCCCTATAGATCCTTTTAAGGAACCCTCAAAGGATCCCTTTAGAGGTACCCCTAATTTTCGGAAACTCCCATATCTATCAGGAAGATGCACCGTAAAGCTCGAGGCTTCGACCCAAAGCAGTCCTCCAGGGGCATGAACCCTAGGGTGTTAGGGCTTAAGGGTTTAAGGGTTTAGGGCTTAGGGTTTTAAGGGTTTAGGGCTTAGGGTTTTAAGGGTGTTAGGGCTTAGGGTTTAGGGGTGTTAGCGTTTAAGGGTTTAGGGTTTAGGGTGTAAGGTTACAGTCCTCGGTTGTTCCTTTGGGTGATTAGGAGGGCTTTGCGGTTTAGGTTCCAGACTTAGGGATCCTTGGCCTTTGTCACAAGACCACCCTTGGACAGACGTTCGTGCAGGACGGTAAGATCTTGCACCATTTTTATTCCGCTGGGCAGGGCTGCAAGATTAGGAAGGGAGGCCCTAAACCCTAAGCTTCCTGCACACTCCTTCGTCTGCACCATGACAGCTTTCCGAATCTTTAAGAAGACCCGCAGACCGCACGACGCTCAATGAGCCGATAGTTGTAGAGGTCTGTTGAGTCGTCATAAATGTTCCTTGAAAGATGGCATAGTGTACCTAGATCCTACTGGCAATTATGGAGGCAACCGGTACTAAGCCCTAAGCCACCCCCAGCCCCATCCTTCGGCTCATGGCACAAGACAAGCCCCAGAAGCCTCAAGTCTTCCCAAAACCCATAGGAATCCTTTAAAGGGACCCTTGTGGAATCCCCGGACGGTGCCCTTCCCGGCGTCCTCCCAGCCGCCGAAAGTTCGAGCCTTCGTGCACTGGATGGAGAGTTCTCGAGAAGGCCGGGGGCCCCTAAATGTGGCTCCAACTACTATCGGGTTTGGGGTTTAGGGCACCCTAAACCCTAAACCGCAACATTTCATATAATTTAGCCGCCTGAATAATTACCAACACTATTCCTCAGGGTTGCTATGATGCTTATCGTGCAATGTCACATTGCCCGCGCTCCCTGGAACCGCTAATGTTTGTTTCTGCCACTGGTGCCACTTGTGAAACCTGGTTTGTGGATACAGATCAGCATCCGCGAGTGGCTCTACTTAGGGTTCATGGTTTAGGGTTTGGAGTGGCTGCAGTTACCAATTTCCGAAGTTAGCAGCTAAAGCCTATAAGCAGGGGGTCAAGACCAACAGTAACCCTGAACCCGAAGTGTTGTACAGTTTTTTTTTGGGGGGGGGGACAGGTACAGAGTGATAAGGCCCATGTACGGCATAGCCTAAACCCGAAACATCTATCATAATCATAGTATAATGGGCCCCAGAACCCTATTCTAATTGGACCCGACTTCCACTAGTTACACTTGTTGTCGGTCTCCGGGAGGTAACATCGCAAACCTCAACTCATCAATTCCGAAACCCAGCGCAAAACGAATCGGACAGCTTGAAATACTAAAATTACTAAAACCCACGTATGCACTTTTGTGTATATGTATGTACACATACAAATGCACTCTACATGTGTATATAGCACATACACACCTATATATACACACATGCACATATGCAGATTATATATACATATATGTATGTATGTATGTATGTATGTATGTATGTATGTATGTGTAACTGTGTAACCTCTCAGAAACGGACTTCTTGTTCGGAAACCTCCGACTTTTGGAGCGCAATTTTCCACTGTGGACCCTTGCCGTACAGCGAGGGCAACCAACACAGCGAGGGCCCCGCAGATTGCGCTTCTCTGGACTTGTGAAGTTTGGCCCTAAGCCCTAGAATCGTGTTGGTTTGAAGGTCTCGCATGTTGGGGTTAGGGCTGTAGTTTCGGGATTTATGGTCTTAGGGCTCAAAGGTTTAGGCGTGCGCAGGGCTTGCATGCTGTTTGATAGTATTGGGTTCAGGCGTACATCTGTAGCCTTTCATGCAGGCATGCAAGTTTGATGGATTTCGCGAAGTCAAGAAGCGATGCCGGGACCCGGCGCACTACGCAACTAAAACCACTATCCGTGCTTCTTGCTCTGCCCGTCTGCCTTCGGTGACCACACAAAGACTCCAAGAATGGGACCGGCTAAAGTCAGTCGGATTTCGTGTTTACCTGTAGGCTTAGACTGGTATGGCAGGTAATCTGTGTAGGGTACAGCGCCTGGAGCAGTGGATTTTGGGATTCTCGGCTAGGGCTTACGGATATCGGAGTCTTCCTGGCGAGACTCGAACCCACGTTCTTTGCTCCTTTGATGATGGTTTCTCCCTTCTTGTTTTGACAACCTGAACCCTCCAAGCCCTAAGCTCACAATGGCACCCAATAGAGGGACCCTAATACAGTATAGTCTTGCATTGTACACTATGTAGGGACTCCGCCGAGTTTGAGCTCCTAACTATATCGACTCCGATCTCTAATTCTATGTAACCAAAGCTCCTCAACCCTTTTCTTGCGGTGCGGGTACACCGAAGCATGTCTGCGCGAGCCCATCTGGAACGATGACGAACTTGCGAGTTTCCCGGCAGTGGCCCTAAATTCAACCATCAGCAGGTGAGCCCTATGCCCTCCCTAAACTCTGGAGGGTGGAACGCCCTGGCGGGCCCCAAATTTACCGTGTTTTCGCAGGTTTTGTAGTGAAAATCACTGTTGCAATAGAAGGGTGGTCTAGCATGTGCAACTGTA